AAAAAACCAATTGCACAGTTTGCATGTAAATTACGAGACGAATCTTTTGAGCCTAATTACGCCATGATTTGACAATGTGGTGATACAGTAAACATTTACTAATGACGGATTAATTAGGCTTAATAAATTCGTCTCGCAGTTTACAGGCGGAATCTGTAATTTTTTTTTATTAGTCTACGTTTAGTATTTCAAATGTGTGTCCGTATACGTCAAAAATTTTTGGAGGAACTAAACATGGCCATAGTATGATTGTAATATATTTACATCTAATAAAATTTTAAGAGAAAATTTATCAATATGTATAGTTAGTCCCTAATGGAATGTACCGACTAGGGAAAAGTTGTCGATAAATAGCTAGTCCGAAATTATCATGTTTGCTGACAGTCTAACATCAGGATTTATTTTCCATCCCACGTAAGGCGCACAAATCACTACATGTACACGACATACCTAAGGCCATTCCCAACCCAGAAACTATAAAGTAGTTTTCATACTTGCCATGTCATATAGACACTATGTGTAGAAACTATGTATTCAATAGATGGTGTCTTCAAATTAAATTCTTATCCAATTATCTCTCTTCTCTCTCCTTTTATCCACATATCATCTTGTTTTTATTCTTGGTTCTTGTGTAGAGATGGTTTCTTCCATGAGAAATGGTTTCTTCATTTTTTTTCCTCTCTCCTCATTAACTCCCTTGCCACATAGGATTTTTACTTATGTGGCAATGTATTTAATATCATGGAAACTAGATGACATGGAGGGTTGGAGATGGTCTAAGGGTGCTGTTTGTTTGGGCTGTTGAGGTGTTACATTCTCACTTGTATGCTTGCCAAACTGTTATTTGGTACTCCTATACCAAAATCAAATTTCTATATCAAAATTTATAGAAATGACTACATATATGTATTTTTGCATAAACTTTATATATTGATTACTTTTAAAAGTTAAATACATATATATTTTAAATTTATAATAGTTAATATTTAATTAATCATGGGTTAATGGTTTATCTTGTATCACATACCGTTGAATACCGTTGAATAGCTCAGCCCAAACACTTCTTAGATCGTCGCCTTAAATGCATCTCTCAGATATTAACACACTTAAATAAAGACAGACCAATAAAAATCCTAGCCTCACGTACTCCTATATATCTACTCACGCGCAATATTGATGTCGAGATTTAAATTCAGATGGTGCCCATGACCTTATCATTATCACGATGCCAATAATTCTTTCTTAATTTTTTTAAATGGACTAAAAATTCAGACTCTACATCCTAACCGGATGAACACGGCCAGAATAGTTAATCTCGCATAATTTTAATGTCATCTTTTAAACATCGTTCTCATGATTTTCGTAGAAAATTCACACTGAGAAATATTCGACTCGTCTTTCTACGATGCTATCTCCATCCCGAAATGTTATAACCTAGCATAGAGGATAATGAATAACCTATATCCATTGTATCCAGATTCATTGTTTAGGATAGAAATTGCAATATTTTTGTAAGAGAAGTCGTTTAGGATAATGTTTAAGTCAAACCTTATGAATATAAATCATGAATAACTCTCAAGATATTGAGTTTAAAAATGTAAAAATCATATAAAAATCATATGAATAGATTTGTCTTGAAAAGTGCTTTCATAAAAGTATACATACTCCCTCCGTCCAAAAAAAAAGATAAACCCTGGGTTTCCGTGTTCAATGTTTGACCGTCCGTCTTATTTGAAAAAATTATGAAAAAAATTAAAAAGACAAGTCACGCATAAAGTATTAATCATGTTTTATCATCTAACAATAATGAAAATACTAATTATAAAAAAAATTCATATAAGACGGACAGTCAAACGTTGGACACGAAAACCCAGGGTTTGCCTTTTTTTGGACGGAGGAAGTATATCACTTTTTAATAAATATTTTTATAGAAATAAGAAGTTAAAGTTGTGTTTTGAAAACCGTATCGCTGTCCAAAATGATTTCCTTTGCGAGTACGAAGGGAGTAATAATCATCTGCAGTAGAAAAGTTTCTGCAGGCTGCAGTCGTGGAATCCAATCACGATCAACGTCGTACCGCTCGAAAGCTCACAAGTCACAACACAGTCACCGAGTCACGCGCGCGCACGACGGGCTACATCCGCCGCTAGCTACCCCCTGCCGCTGCCGGTACAGTCTACAGTGGCTCGTACTCGTACGGCGGCCATATACCATCCGCCCGACGCCGACAAGACAGCTCGCGCGCCGCCCACGAGCACAAGCCTTGCCCCGCGCGCGCCACCCGAATCCACCGGCACCCGCGGCTCCTCCCCTCTTCGCGTGGCCGACGGCGAGCCATACGCGCGCGCGGCGCGCGGGGGCGTGGGCGCGGTGCGCGGTGGTGGTGGTGGTGGCCCGCGCGTCGGCGTGGGGGTGGGGGGTTGGGGTGTTGCGGGGACGGGAGCGCGGCCACGCGGCGCGGCTCGCCGCCGCTTGATGGCACCGGCCAAACGCGTGGCCGCGCGTGGCGAGACGTGGGGGGGGGGGAGGGCGGCCACCCGATCCGGCGGCGTTCGGGAGCGCGGGGCCGTCCGATCGACGGGTTTGGATGGAGTCCCTCTCGGCATGGGAACGCCAGGGTGGATCTTACAAAAAGGGCTGCCCTTTTTTCACTTGACCCCATTCACTTCTTGCAAATTGATGTTATATGGAGTACTATACGCAATGCATCCTAATAAGTAAAGTAGGAGTATTTGACAATTTCATACTCCCTCCTTTTTTAAATAGATGGCACCATTGATTTTGACCATTCATATTATTCACAAATTTTATATAAATATATAAGATATAAATTATGTTTAAAGTAATTTTAGTGATAAAACAACTCACATAAAAATAAATAATAATCTATCTATCTATCTATCTATCTATCTATCTATCTATCTATCTATTATATTATTAAAACAGCCTTGAAAGGAGACACCACGTTCGCTGTGGAGGTTAGAAATTCCCACATTAATCGAAGAAAAAGAAAAGAAGAGTCCAATTAGAAATACAATATAAAAATAGCTGAAATTCGGAATTAAAAATATGCAATATGGAAAGAGGAGTCCATATAGGAACCCAATACGTGATTAATTAAAATTCGGAATAATAAAAAAATAAATTTCAAAATTAGAAAAAGAAAAAAGAAGAGTTCGACTAGGAATACAATTTATAAATAACTAAAATGGAGTTAAAAATAAGGTTAAAAGAAGAGTCCATACAACAATCCAATACGAGATTAATTAAAATTCAGAATAAAAAAATCAAAATTAGAAAAAAGAAAAGAAAATAAGAGTTCAAGTAGGAATATAATTTAAAATTAACTTAAATTCGGAATTAAATATAAGCAATATTGAAATAAGAGTACATATAAGAACCAAATAGTAGATTAATTAAAATTCTTAATAAAGAATAAAATAAAATCCGAAATTAGGCAAATTAAAAAGAGAGTTAAAGTATGAATATAAATTTGAAACAACTAAAATTGAAAATAAAAAATAAAAATATCAAAAGAACATAATAATAAATAAAATAAATTCTGAAATTAGAAAAAGAAAAAAAATATTTCAATTAGGAATACAATTTATAAATAGCTAAAATTGGTAATAAAAATAAGACTATTGAAAGAAAAGACCATCACGAGATTAATTAAGTAACAAGCCTATAGAGAAATAGAGTGGTGGCGGTTGATGAGACATCTAAAATATATTAATAAAACACCAAATAGAATCCAAATGACGATTAAAAGGAAGGACGACGGGCAGGTCGTGAAGCAATCAGTCAAAGCGGTTGGCGGGGGACTTCTAGAAAGTAAAATAATAAACCCCAATAATAATCATATTTAATTTTTAAATTCTCAATTACAATAAAAAAGAGAGGCAGCGGGTCGTATAGAAGTACAATGGTAGAGCCGCCGATGGTTGGTGGGTCTTCTAGAAAGTAAAAAATGAATTCCAATGGTAGTTATGTTCGATTTTTACAATCCCAATGACAATAAAGATTATGCAGCGGACGGGTCGTAGAGGAGTATAGTGGCAGTGTTTGACGGGATTTCTAAAAATTATAAAAAGCATAAACCCAACGAGACAATAAAACTCTAAAAACTATAAGGTTTAATTTTTAAAGGTTCGGGCTTTTAAAAAGTAAAAAAATAAATCCCAATGGTAATCATGCTTAATTTTAAAATCTCAATGACAAGAAAGAAGGGCGGCAGCGGGCGAACCGTAGAGGAGTATAGTGACAAAGTCCCTGACTTTTAGCAGAACTTCTAGAAAGTAAAAACACGAACCTAAACGATAATTATGTTCGAATTTTAAAATAGCAATGACAATAAAGAGAAGATGCAGTGGATGGTTGTAGAGGAGTATAATGGCAGCGTTTGATAGGACTTTTAGAAATTATTATAAAAAAGAAGCCCAACAGAACAATAAACTCTAAAACTATAAGTTTTTAGATCTAATTTTTAAAGGTTCCAAGGAGAATGAATAGAAACAGTAGTAGATCGAGCAAGATAATAAAAAAAATAATATGACAGAAGTAAGGGTAGCAACTGATGTGTCTTTGAAAAACTATAAAATTAGAAACACAGGGATGGTAAGGTTTTGTCTAAAAAAATTTAAGACAATGAGATAACTATTTAATAAATTTTAAGTAAAATCATATTAAAAATATATAATTTTATATGGGTGCTAGCCGCGCAATTGCGCGGACCACCCAGCTAGTTACATTAATAAGATAAATGATCATACTATGTTCAAAAGTCAATTACGTTATTTATTTAAAAAACAGAGGTAGTATGTTTTTTTTCAAAAGGTAGACGGGGGAGAGACTTTCCCCCACCTTAAAACTTCCATTACCAAAATTAACAGAATTATTGTCTTTTAAGGATTACAAATGAAGGTGGAGAAGAGTTCTTTCCAATGCGAAACTACATCGTGCTCTCTTATATTCTTTCTTGCTATCCAAAGAGTTGCATCTTCCACACAGATAATCTCAAAATCTTTTGGATTGATGAAGGTTCTCCGTGGAATACATTGTCATGTCGATGATTTCATAGGCGCCACCGCGCCAGAAACAAAGGAGATAGAATGCCTTGAACACAAACTCAGAATTGGTAGCAGGGGGTTGAAGAATCTCGCGATCTATCACTGAATAGATGAAAGATGAATTCTGATCGATCTCCACAAATGCCCTGTGAAGACGCAAGTGAAAAACATGTTATTATTTGCATATTCAGCTTTGCCAGAGCAGACCTTGCACCACACCGGCCGTAGTATACGTACTCAAGAGAGTAGATTACTTGTTAACACAAAAAAAAAAATCCCCAGTTCAAGAAAAACATATGTTTACATCATTGCATGAAAGACCCCTGGATCTTTTACCAACGTTGATGATTAAAAAAAAGCAATTTAGAGCAGTAGATTTGAACCAGTATATATATACAAAATTTGTATGTGACAACGACCTCTCTCTTAAAGCGAGTGTTAAGGTCGCGAATTCGTGGATGTGCGTGTGTGCGTCTTCTTTGTCACTTGAAAAAGAAAAGGTAAAAGTAGTGAGCACTTGTATGTAATACATGGAAATGACAGGGGTTGGGCTGCTAAATGTCCCATGTTCCATATGCCTGTTTTCGACAAAAAGAGTGGCCATGTCCGGACGCACAGGCACTGTGCTATACCCCCCTTACTTACTCGAATCAAACAAAACAAGAATCCAGTGAGACACACCAGGGGACAGAGAAACGTGCCCACAATTACTAGTTCCCTGCTATCTAGCTTGCTTGCTATCTCAGCTCCCAGACGATCGATCGAGCGATCGAGCTAGCTAGTGTCTGCATATAGACTGATAGCGAGTGGGATAAGCTGGACAGCGAGGGAAGAGAATGCAACGAGATCACCGGAGGAGCTCGCCGCCGGCGGCCGCCTCCAGCAGCGAGAGGTCGTCGGACTCCGCCCCAAACACCGACGACGGCAAGGAAGGCACGCACACGCTCGATCTCTCATCGTCATGTCTCGATTTATTTTTTTTTTTGTGTGTGTTCTTGATCGATCGATGATCACCAATTCGATCGCCATGGCTGTCGCTTGTTGTCTCGATCTTAATTAATTATGCAGATTTTTTTGATCTAGCGATCGATCTCGTTGGCAGGGGTGGATAGCGACGACGAGGAGATAGTAGGGAGGGTGCCGGAGTTCGGGCTGGCGCTGCCGGGGACGTCGACGTCGGGCAGAGGTAGTGTTCGGGTTGCAGGTGACGCGGCGGCGACGGCGGCCGGGACGTCGTCGTCGTCGCCCGCGGCGCAGGCCGGCGTCGCCGGCAGCAGCAGCAGCGGGCGCCGCCGCGGACGCAGCCCCGCCGACAAGGAGCACCGGCGCCTCAAAAGGTGTGTAGTGTAGGCCTCCACTTCGTATGTGTACTGTATATATACGTACGTCATGTTAATTACTCCATTCTTCCTATAATATAAAGGGGTTTTAACTTTTTCTTACACTGTTTGATAATTTGTCTTATTTAAAAAATTTTAGAATTATTATTTATTTTATTTGTGTCTTACTTTATTATCCAAAGTACTTTAAACACAACTTTTATTTTTTATATTTGCACAATTTTTTTAATAAGACGAGTGATCAAACAATGTAGCAAAAAGTCAAAATCTCTTATATTATGGGACGGATGGAGTAGTCCTTATATGTGTATTGTACATTTGTACTGTACGCCACGTCCCTTTTTATTCAGAGAACTCCTGTATATATACTGATTAATTAGGGGTCTAGAAGGCTAGTTTTTGCTCAGTTGCTTGAGTATTTCTACTGTTTTAGAAAAAAATTACTATGAATATTGATTAATCTCCCATCAGAAGTCTAATGCTCGATCACTTAGGTCACAAATATATATCATTAAGCTTCCTATCGGTCTTCGATGCACGACATTGACTATTTTTCATTAAAATATTTTTATTAAATCTAGCAAGTTTAAGAGATTAATTATGAAATTACTTTTGAAGACAAATCGATGCATTACGTATTTTAAAATTTATTGGTAGTCAAAATTTTAAAGGTTTGACAAAAAAATTCAAACGGCGATGTATATTTATAACCGGAAGGAGTACATATATTATATGCCATGTAAACTGTACATGCCAAATTTGTAAAATTCTATTTTGTATACAGACATTTTCTTAGAAAATGTAATAACCAACAAATCAAATTGGGATGTTTCCATTTGTATCCTTTCAAATTTGGCATAGTATAAACCAACCATTTAAACAGCTGACATGTTAACATATGATAAAGATTCTGATGTGACACAAACTTATTAACAATATTCCAACAATTTGGGACAAGTTGTTTGATGTTCGATGCTTTGTACTCGAGCGAATCTACATGTGAAGATTATCTATGTCCTATATTGGACAAATGGGCCCAACACTTTCAGGTCTATGGGGGAAGGTTCGTTAGCAGTACTTTAGCATATGGTGATGTTATTCCAATCATGATATATGTTGACCTTTATGCAAAATGCAAATTCTTTGACACATGGAACTTGTGCCATATATCTGTAGGTGTGAAAATAGGATGGGTGTAATTTTATATATACATTTGAATCCAAGCTACATATTTATTCTAATGCATTTCAAAATTGATATTATTACACAAGCTATATTGAGTTATTGACTCTGATATGCAAATAATTATTTTCAAGTTAATTAACTCACGTTTATCTTTATTTGATTGAATAATATTATAATATAGAACCATATCCAATCACATGTACTTCTGTATTACTAGTACCATATTTTTGTATTACTTGTTATTTTAACTCTATGTCTACATAAAGGTACCAATAACAAATCACTGCTACCCAAAGAATCAAACCATTTATTTTCCGATTAAAAAAACATCTTAGAATGTTACTCCTGGTGGTTGCAAAAGAAAGACATTTTGGACTTCTCTAAATCAACAAGGCATAATTTGAATATTTAATCCTTGTGCTAGGACAAAGTTGGCTACCTTAATTATTGTCTTCATATGTCTGTAAGCTAAAATTTTAGAAAAAATAATAATTATGATCAAAGCTAACTTGTGTTGCCTACACAAGTACTAAAATGGCATACTTTTGTGACTAGAGGTAATACATCTATTTTTGACTGCCCATGCATATAGAACACCATATAATTTGTTCTCAATCATACACACTCGCAAATTAATTCTATAAGACCTTAATTTTGTGGCGGGCGTTTGGGAATTAATCCACTAGATTGCTGAGGAACCGGGTGTCAGCGCAGCAGGCTCGGGAGAGGAAGAAGGCGTACATGAGTGAGCTGGAGGCGAGGGTGAAGGACCTGGAGAGGAGCAACTCAGAGCTGGAGGAGAGGCTCTCTACCCTGCAAAACGAGAACCAGATGCTTAGGCAGGTAATAAAACTGTATTTCGAAGCAGACATGTGCATATGCATAATTCTGAATTCTGATCAGCTCTTCATATATACACACTTAATTGACAGTTGACATAATTTTAATTATGTTGATAACCTTGTAATTAAGCTTCCTGTCAACTAACACCCCTGATATATATATATACATAAATAGTACATGATACGAGAATCAGACTGCAGAAAAAAAGAAAAGCTGCCTATAGAAGGGTATCTGAAGATTATATAATTGTGCTAGTAAATGCTGAGATGACATATGTTTAACTTCATGTGTTATTTCCAGGTGCTGAAGAACACAACAGCAAACAGAAGAGGGCCAGACAGCAGTGCCGGCGGAGACAGCTAGTAACCGCAATCTGTAGTCTGGAATCTGGAGTTCGATTAATTTTGTTAGCTTGGCTAGCTCCATTTGGCAGAGTCACAACTAAGACTCAAAGGGAAGCTGCTCCCTTTTGATTGATTTGTAGTTTCTTAGATAAAATTAATTACTACATTAAATACAACCATTCTTGGCTATGCACCTGAATAAGTACTCGTTAGTGCTAGCCAGATCGAGACAAATGAACTTACCTATTTATGCCTTCTCGAATCAACTCTGGAAGGCATATAATTGTTTCCATGTCTACCTCCTATTGGCGGATTGGCCGAGCCCTGCAAAAGTGTAATAAATGTATGTAATTCCGCCATTCCGGCCGTCAAATGGTGCGCACAAACGTCTACTGTTGAAGATGACAGTGTCAGTACGGTATATTGTTGAAGAACAGTAGCCGGTATTCAGTAGGAATGTGATTATGTGAGTGTAATGCATGATGGAAATGCAACTTCTTTCAGAGCTCGCATGATCGCATCGGATTTAATTTTCTATGTTTCCCTATATGATTTGTATTTACCTGTAAGAGATCGAAGATTAAGCACCGGATTGTTCCGCTTGTAAGTCGATCAGGTTTGTCCCTGCACAAACACCGGTAAGAAATAAGAATACCATTCTGTCTAAGCATCTGTGGTGTACTCCCTCCGTTTTTTAATAGATGACGCCGTTAACTTTTTCTCACATATTTGACCATTCATCTTATTCAAAAAAATTTATGTAATTATAATTTATTTTGTTATGAGTTGCTTTACCACTCATAATATTTTAAGTGTGATTTATATTTTATACATTTGCATAAATTTTTTGAATAAAACGAATGATCAAACATGTGAGAAAAAGTCAACGGCGTCATCTATTTAAAAAACGGAGGTAGTATGTGTTTTTTTTTGTCATTAGGCTTCAATATAGCTCACTCTTTATATACATCAGTAAAAATTACAGGAGAGAATCAATAGATACTGCCTCCCCTGATTCCTCGCTTCCTCAGCACGTACATAACGAATTCATCCTCTGTATTATCCACGTTGTCTGTACTACGAATTCATCCTCTGTATTATCCACGTTGTCTGTTACTTGGCGATACTGCACAGAGGCAGTTTGCTTGTCTAGCTAAGTTGTTTCTTTCACCGAGGCTGCCTTGCAATCATCGCAGGAAGTTATTAATACGGCATTTTGTCACGTCTAGTTGGATAGTTAAAACATAACCACTATATATGATTTAGCCATTTAGGGTTGGATTGGGTTTGACACCACGGTACAGTTATACAGATACCATTTTTAAGAGAGTTTTGTCTGGTCTTAGACTCTTAGTAGCATCCAAACTTACGCTATTGAGATGACTTTGTAGATAGAGTAAAAACTGAATCAAGTGTTTTGCTGAATTGTGTTACCTGTTAGCTCCGAGATGGATGGAGAGAGCCCAGAGATAATGCCTGTAGAATGCCCTGATCCTGAGCCTGCATCTTCAGAAAGGTAACAACTGAAAATGTTATCAGTTATAGCATCAATCCCCACAATGCTAAACCATATCCATGCTAATGGTTCATAACCAATTCTGAAAATGGGTAATCAAATTAGTAACATGGTCATTAAGATTGGAAGCGAAAAAAAATTGATGAAATTTTTGGGGTTTGTGTTTTTGCAGTGGTGATGACCATGACATACCTGAGCCTCTCAGCAGCAGGCTGTCCGTACCGTCCGGCGAGCTCAACCTGTACCGCGCCGCCGTCGCGCTCCGGCTCGTCCTCCTCGCCGCCTTCTTCCGCTACCGCGTCACCCGCCCCGTCGCCGACGCCCACGCGCTGTGGGTGACGTCCGTCGCGTGCGAGCTCTGGCTCGCCGCGTCATGGCTGATCGCCCAGCTCCCGAAGCTCTCCCCGGCCAACCGCGTCACGTACCTCGACAGGCTGGCCTCAAGGTCATCTCGATCGCCATGGCCGGCGGCCATGTGAGGCAAGACACTGAGACAGAGACTCCTCCTGCCCATGCAGGTACGAGAAGGGCGGGGAGGCGTCGCGGCTGGCGGGCGTGGACGTGTTCGTCGCCGCGGCGGACGCGGCGAGGGAGCCCCCGCTGGCGACGGCGAACACCGTGCTGTCGGTGCTCGCGGCGGACTACCCGGCGGGCGGCGTCGCCTGCTACGTCCACGACGACGGCGCCGACATGCTGGTGTTCGAGTCGCTCTTCGAGGCGGCGGGCTTCGCGAGGCGGTGGATCCCCTTCTGCCGCCGCCACGGCGTGGAGCCGAGGGCCCCCGAGCTCTACTTCGCCCGCGGCGTCGACTACCTCCGCGACCGGGCCGCGCCGTCCTTCGTCAAGGACCGCCGTGCCATGAAGGTGGGGTGAGGCGATACCGCCGAACACCTTGTAGGCATGCACGCATCGATGAATCCGTCGCCGTTGTTGCAGAGGGAGTACGAGGAATTCAAGGTGAGGATGAACCACCTCGCCGCGAGGGCGCGCAAGGTGCCGGAGGAAGGATGGATCATGTCGGACGGCACGCCGTGGCCGGGGAACAACTCGCGGGATCACCCTGCCATGATTCAGGTGATCGATCAAAAAAACCTCTCCATAAAATTCCCCGCCTCTTCTCTCGAGCGCTTGTCACCATTTTGATCAAGCTGGTTCGTCTCTCCAGGTGCTCCTGGGTCACCCCGGCGACCGCGACGTCGACGGCGGCGAGCTCCCGCGTCTCTTCTACGTGTCGCGGGAGAAGCGACCGGGTTTCCGGCACCACGGCAAAGCCGGCGCCATGAACGCGCTGGTGCGTTGCGACACTGCCTGCCTGCCTGTCCATGGCGTTGATCTGGTTGCGATGTGAATTTTGGTTTGATCGGTGCAGCTCAGGGTATCCGCCGTGCTTACCAATGGCGCCTACGTCCTCAACCTGGACTGCGACCACTGCGTCAACAACAGCAGCGCGCTGAGAGAGGCGATGTGCTTTATGATGGACCCGGTCGCCGGGAACAGGACGTGCTTCGTCCAGTTCGCACTGCGCGACAGCGGCGGCGGCGACTCCGTCTTCTTCGATGTAAGAGACGAAATGTCCATGTTGCTGAATTGCGTAACCTCGCTGATTCTTGCTGCTCGATCTGGTTCAGATCGAGATGAAATGCCTCGATGGCATCCAGGGCCCGGTGTACGTCGGTTCCGGTTGCTGCTTCAGCCGGAAGGCGCTGTACGGGTTCGAGCCCGCGGCGGCGGCTGACGACGGCGACGACATGGATACGGCGGCGGACTGGAGGAGGATGTGCTGCTTCGGGAGGGGGAAGAGGATGAACGCGATGAGGAGGTCCATGTCCGCCGTGCCGTTGCTGGACTCGGAGGATGACTCCGACGAACAGGAGGAGGAGGAGGCGGCGGGGAGGAGGAGGAGGCTGCGCGCGTACCGCGCCGCGCTGGAGCGCCACTTCGGCCAGTCTCCCGCGTTCATCGCCTCGGCGTTCGAGGAGCAAGGGCGGCGACGCGGCGGCGACGGTGGCTCGCCTGACGCGACCGTGGCGCCAGCGCGATCTCTCCTCAAGGAGGCCATCCATGTCGTCAGCTGCGCGTTCGAGGAGAGGACGAGATGGGGCAAAGAGGTGGCAGCTTCGCCGATGATCACTTCGCCTTCCGCTCCCATGATGATGTTGATGTCGTTGTTCTCGTGCAGATTGGATGGATGTACGGCGGCGGTGTCGCGACGGGGTTCCGGATGCACGCGCGCGGGTGGTCGTCGGCGTACTGCTCGCCGGCGAGGCCGGCGTTCAGGCGGTACGCGCGCGCCAGCCCCGCGGACGTCCTCGCGGGGGCGTCGCGGCGAGCGGTGGCGGCCATGGGGATCCTGCTGAGCCGGCGGCACAGCCCCGTCTGGGCTGGCCGCCGCCTCGGGCTCCTGCAGCGGCTGGGCTACGTGGCCCGCGCCTCCTACCCGCTCGCCTCCCTCCCGCTCACCGTCTACTGCGCGCTCCCGGCCGTCTGCCTCCTCACCGGCAAGTCCACGTTCCCCAGCGACGTGAGCTACTACGACGGCGTCCTCCTCATCCTGCTGCTCTTCTCCGTGGCCGCGTCGGTCGCGCTCGAGCTGAGGTGGAGCCGCGTGCCACTGCGGGCGTGGTGGCGAGACGAGAAGCTCTGGATGGTCACCGCCACATCGGCGAGCCTCGCCGCCGTGTTCCAGGGCATCCTCAGCGCGTGCACCGGGATCGACGTCGCCTTCTCCACGGAGACGGCAGCTTCGCCACCCAAGCGACCGGCGGCAGGAAACGATGACGGGGAAGAGGAGGCAGCATTGGCATCGGAGATTACGATGCGGTGGACGAACCTGTTGGTGGCGCCGACGAGCGTGGTGGTGGCGAACCTCGCCGGGGTGGTGGCGGCGGTGGCGTACGGGGTGGACCACGGGTACTACCAGTCGTGGGGCGCGCTCGGCGCGAAGCTGGCGCTCGCCGGGTGGGTGGTGGCGCACCTTCAGGGATTCCTCCGGGGGCTCCTGGCGCCGCGAGACCGGGCGCCGCCGACCATCGCCGTGCTCTGGTCGGTGGTCTTCGTCTCCGTGGCGTCGCTGCTCTGGGTCCACGCCGCGTCCTTCTCGGCGCCGACGGCGGCGCCCACGACGGAGCAACCGATCCTGTGAGAATCACGGGAGTTGGGAGGGATTGTAGGGCTGGGCCGTGCCGGGCCGAACCAGGGCTTTCCTCTTAACGATGATTATTATGTTGGAATAAGTTCATCTGAGGTCCCTTAACTTGTCAACGAATTCGATTTTTGTCCTTCAACCGAAAAACCAGATACAATGCATCCCTTAACTATCAAAAGTGGTGCAGATGAGGTCCCTCGATGGTTTTGACGGTGGTTTTGGCTGATGTGGCACCTACGTGGCCGGTTTGACTCGGTCTTCATTTGACGTGGTATTGACGTGGCGCTTACGTGGTAATTCTATCCAAAAATAATAATAAACCCTATGGGACCCACCTGTCAGTTTAACATACAAGTTAATAAAAAAATAGTGGGGCCCACATGGGTCCCCATGTCATTCTCACACCTCTCCTCTCTCCATCTCCCCCCTCTTCATCTCCCGCCGGCGGCGAGGCCTACCGGTTCACTGTCGATCCCCGAGTCATCAGCACGCACGCCAATGTAGCCCTCCTCCGCGTGCCGCACCCCTACGATGAGCTCCACCGGGGCATCGAATCCTACGACTCCTTCCGCTCCGGCGGCTACCAAACCCGCGCGTCTCCCCCTTCCGCAACGAGGAGGTCGCCATTGTCCGCTGCTCCGACGAGACCCGCTATGTCATCACCGGCTTCATGCCCACCATCAACCACCCCATGAAGCCGGCGGCAGATGGTGCCCTAGTGCGCCCTGCTGGTGCCGCGAGGAGTGCGGCTGGTACGGAGGCGCCTCGGCGAGCAGCCTCCTCTGAGCCGCCATCGCTGCCACGGGGAGCTAATGAAGCAGAGAGAGAGAGATAGAGAGAGCGCTTGGTGGCCGGATTAGCAGCAACAAATCAAACAAAGGAATATTAACAGTAGTAGCTAATTAGTAGAGGTAGGAGTGGCACTGCAAGAACACAAGAACAACAGCTCGATTACTAGTTTACTACACCGGCGACGACGATGACAATGCCATCTTCCCCGGTGGATTCGGCGGCGGCGGAGGAGGAGATCAGCCGCGGGCAGTGGGAGATGCGGGAGCAGCCGCAGTGGTAGGGGTTGGCGGAGGCGCCGGGGCGGCAGTTGTAGTAGCTGGCGTCACGACGAGAGCACGGGACGCTGTCTCGGCGCAAAGACTAGTAGCTGATGTACCCTCTCCCGGCGAGCACGCGTCAGTGCACCTCGCCGGACGCTGACCCACCGTGCCCCTGCACTCGCCGCGTGCGCCGCCGGTGGCTGACAGTATCCCCAGCTGCTGCCGATGGAGGAGGGATGTGCGGCGGTGTGTGGTAGGTGCTCTCCTCCGGGATCACCGTCGCCTGGTGGTGGTGGTGCCAATTCCCCTCGGGCCGATGACTTTCCCGTCGTGCCTGGAGAGAGAATAGGGAAGATGGGGAGAGAGGAGGAGGAAGAAGAAGAGTGGGAATGACGTGTGGGACCCACGTGGGCCCCACCATTTTTTATTAATTTGGCTGAAGCTGACATGTGGGGCCCATGGGGTTTATTATTTTTTCGGATCGAATTGCCACGTAAGCGCCACGTCAATGCCACATGAAATGAAGACCGAGTCAAACCAGCCACGTAGGCGCCACGTCAGCCAAAACCGCCGTCAAAACCGCCGAGGGACCTCATCTGCACCGGTTTTGATAGTCGAGGGACGCGTTGTATCTGGTTTTTCGGTTGAAAGACGAAAATCGGATTTGTTGACAAGTTAAGGGACCTCAGATGAACTTATTCCTATTATGTTTGGACTTTGGATAGACTCCCCCACTCTCGATGCTGAAAAGAGAACTGAAATTTCAAAGGAATAAGTCCATTTTACCTCCCTCATCTCTTGCTCTTGTGTGAATAACATCCCTCAACCGGAAAACCGGGTATAACGCCTCCTTCTTCTCTGAAAACCAGAGTAAATCACCTCCCTCGTCGGTTTCGGAGGTGGTTTTGTCCTACGTGACACTTACGTGACGGGTTTACTTCCATATGGCATCGAAGTGGCGCTTGCGTGGCACTAAAATAAAAACAAATGTAAATGGGACCCACATTATTCTAAGAGGAGGAGTACCGGAGGGGCACAGACTGGAGAACGAATAGCCAGCCGCCATCGCTGGCTCGCTGCGAGGCGACGCAAGGAAAGGCGTCCCACGAATGCGAGCGGTGCGGTGCGGCGCGGAGTCACGAATGGCAGACCCACAAGACTTGGCAACGGCGTTGCGCGGACAACAAAGCGGTGTCGGGGGTGTCGGCGGCGGCGTGGTGTACAAGCGAAGCCCGAAGCCTCGAAGGGAGTAGCGCTGGCGCCCTGGTGGCTCCACCTGCACTCAACCCAAGTTGCCTCTTGGGCTGTTGGGTTTCATTGTTTGGGCCTGGTTTTTTTAAGGAAAAAGTACACCGAAGGTCCCTCAACTTGTTATCGAGTTACAAAATCGTCCTTGAATAAAAAAAAACCGATATAACGCATCCCCCGACTTAGAAAACCAGTACGAACTAGGTCCCTCAGCGGTTTTGTCTCCGGTTTTATCCGACGTGGCAGTTGACTTAGTGTGGGGCCCACGTGGGCCCCGCACGTCAGTCTCTTCTTCCCCTCCCCTCTCCACCTCTCTTCCTCTCTCCTCTCCCCTCCTCTCTTCTCCACGTGCGGCGCTGGGGGAGTAGCTGGGCACAACCGCACGGCAGGGCGGTGCAGTTAGCGTGGGCGGCGAGGGAAGGAGCTGGGAGGCAACGACGGGAAAGAGTTGGGCACGAGCGGCTATTGGCGGGGGAAGAGATAGGTGTTTGTGGGCCAAAATCAGGTGTAGTCCCAAGCCCACAGGGACTACCCCTAGATACGCCCCTACGACTAAGAAGTATAAGAGTAAACCACCCTATATATAACTCTATACAAAACAATGAGAATCATGCAAAGGGATAAAAAGGGAAAGTCTATTCGTCACTCGAGGAGATGATCCTCATTTTTACGTGTCACCTAAAAAGTTATAAAAAAATATAAAATATATCAATGTGACACTCCTATATCACTTCACAAACCTGAAAAATTCAAATTAAGCTTATACTATACATAAACAAAAATAAAATTAATATCAAATAGAATACGTAATCTACAGTCAAATTTATTGTTTTTTTATAATTGTATAGATCGGATATGAACTTACATACTTGTGAAATGGTATATTATATATTAATCTATCTTACTAAACTTTTAAACATATTTTGATATCTAATTTAGATTATATACTCCACTATAAAACGCGAAAGACCTTGAAAGACGAAAATCAATCTCCACGCACATGTAATACTCGTTTGCGGTCACTCACTGATCCAATCCTACTATGCCTACGAAAGTCACGAACAAATTCAGTCTTCCAAGTCTTCCAACCATAGCTCGACACGTCTGCCCGCTGCTTAGCACGCTTTCGGGCACAACACAGCGACCCGAGTAGTACTTAATAGGAGTACACGTAAAGCCGAACCAGCGACGAGACACTGTTCACGAGTACGAACGCGCCGGTCCATCGACGCCTTTCCTACGGATTCGCAGCGAAACACCCATGCATCTGCCTCATGGAGCTACACTTCGAGAAGTTAAAATAGCGTGCTATAAACTAGCTATAAACATATTTTAAGAAGATAAATAAGGAAAGAGAATGGCAGCGGGCTACAGATTTGTAGCCAGTTGTAGCATGGACTCTAAGACACAGTATGTGTCTGACAGGTGGGATCAGGTATTAATAGTGTAGTATGTAACTATTGTATGAATAAGCTATTAAATTGGCTATAGATGAATTGGAGCTAGTAGTTAGCTATACTATTAAACTTGCTCTTAGGGCCTGTTTATAGCTTTCTATTGTACCTGCTCTTGGCTTTCACATGCTAAAGAGAGCGACGGATTAATGTATGATTAATTAAGTATTAGCTTAAAAAAATTTAAAAATGGCTTGATATGACTCTTATAGAAAATTTTGTGTAGAAACTTTTTTTTTTAAAAAAACACACTTTATTAGTTTAAGAGCGAGTTTAATAGTATATACTGCCTCCAATTCATCTACATTTCTGAAACAGCTAAAACGGTGAATTATATATATAAGTTGTTTTTAAAATATGAGATAAATCGATTTTCTAATTTTATAATAACTAAAACTCAATTAATCACGCCCCATGGCTTTCTTGTTTTGCAACTTCATCTCTATCTACCGTAGAAAATAAAGCCATCTGGAGTAACCTCTAAGAAACAGAGAGAACATAGAACGACTGAATAGGATGATTGGCACAACTGTAAAGAACAACTTAAGGCTATGTTCCAGTTCCACCTTCCCGTATGGAAAATGGAACGATCCATTAACAACGATCCATTAACACGTAATTAATTGAGGACTATTAGTTTTTCTTTTGTAAAATATATCAATATTATTTTTTGCTATAGAAAACTTTTGTAAAGGACATACTCCCTCCGTACTCATAAAGGAAGTCGTTTTGGACAGCGACACGGTCTCTAAAACACAACTTTGACATTTTATTTCTATAAAAATATTTATTGAAAAGTGATATATGTATACTTTTATGAAAGTAGTTTTCAAGACAAATATATTTATATAATTTTTACATTTTCAAACTTGAGAGTTGATTTATATTCCCAAGGTTTGACTTAAACATTGTCCTAAACTACTTCCTTTACGAATATACTCCCTTCGTCCTAAAATATAGCAACTTTGTACTGGATAGGACACATCCGAGTACAATGAATCTGGACAGTATGTTCAGATTCATTGTACTATGTACTAGGACGTGTCCCATCTAGTAAATGGTTGCTACTCCCTCCTTCCAAAAGTTTAAGACCTATTTCATTCTTTTTTTTTTCAAAAGTCTAAGTCCTATTTGTAGTCATTATGTGCTAAATTAAATTGTTGATAGGAACCAAGAAGCCATTTTAATGCTTATTGGTTACATGTTCATTGGTTTTGTCACATAGTGAATGAATTAATTGTTTCTTGGTCTTGGTGAAAAAGAAATAAGACTCAGGTTTTGGAAATGAGGGAGTATATTTTAGGACTGAGGGAATAATAATTTAAAAAGTGTGCGCATGAAAAAGAGGGAAGTAAGTTTAGAGCAAGGATAATAGTAGAGCTCACTTCCTACTATTAGCCCATCTTAAAGCTGTTGGCGGATGGCATGAGGCCCTTCGACCAAATCTGCCGAAACCCGTGGCGAAGGCTATGGAGCAAGAACGGCGTGAGGCGAAGAGTCG